TACGATAATATCGTCATATCGCCCCGCCCTAATGGGAACTATGCAAAACAGCGTGTAGTCCTTTCTGCCTGTGAGTCAGTTTGATGCCACTTTACAAAGCATAGTCCACAGACCTTAGGAGTTCTAACATTTTGGACAAGTTAGCCATCACTGGTAAAACACTTTATATATTCATTTGTATGTACTTGTATCATTTGTATTTATTTGTTTAATAAGTATAGGCTATTAATAAGTACAACCTAATTGGTGTGAAATCTAATATGCATTTACAGTACATTCGATTACAAGAGAAGAAAGTGTTGAATACTTTTGTTACTTTTGTGTTATTTGCGCACAAAAAGTATTCTTGTTGCTTCATAACATTATGGTTGAACCACTGATGTCACATGACTATTTTAGCGATGCCCTTACTACCTTTCTGGGCCATAAATCGTTTCAATTGTGTTGCTGTCTATGCAGGGTCAGAAAGCTCTTGGATTTCATCAGAAATATCTTAATTTGTGTTCCGAAGATGAACAACAGTAATTAATTACAGAATTTTCATTTTTGGGTGAACTAACCCTTTAATATGTTAGTATGGGCACCAAACTAACATGTGAAAAAGACCAAATTTTAAAAAATTCAGTTTCTTATATTCCGAAAGGATCCCGTTTGAAAAGCGAAATGTATAGTTGTTGTTTAGTTTGCCATATCCTTTTGAATCGATGTAATCCAATGTTTGTAATCCAGTGTGAGATGTTTATAATCACTTACTCCTGACCCTTATAAAGCTTTGTAAAAGTAATGTATTTGCTACATTCTTGAAGATGTATCCAGCCTTTTCTCTCTGGAGAAATGACCTGTTCCAGAACTTGCTTGGAATGTTCTGATTTGTGTGTGAATGGGTCATGTGACAGAGATGATGATGATCTCAGTGTTCTTACAGGGATTACAGCACTGCTCGTATCTCTCTTCTGTTATGAGGGACACTGGTTCCTGCAGGTCAGAAGGGATAAGGATAAAACCCTAGATCTTGTGACATCACAGGGATGTTGCTATAGAGAACAAACACCGATGCATACACACAAATCTTTTGTAGTCTGCAAAACCAAGTTCATTCTTGGATGTTGGAGTTGTGATGTTTAAATCATCTTGTTTTAGTTTCTGCAAAACATTGTAATAAAGTTAAAGGGGTCATATGATGTGATGTAACGCGTAAAAAGACAGTATAAGTCATTATAATCCATAATTATGTCCCCACTGGATGTAACGAATGCCTCGTTTCTAATGGGTTTTCATGTTTTTGAATCGTAGCTCCGGCCTGACAGGGCATCACAGTATGGTAGGGGCGTAACATTTCAGTCACACGCTTGAGGTATTCGGCCAATCATAACGCACTGGATAGCTGGCCAATCACAGCACACCTCGCTTTTAAGACCGATGAGCTTTGTAAAAATCGACGCGTTTCAGAAAGGCGGGGCATAGAGGAGAAACAGTAATGTACAGTATGTGGAAAATAATGTGTTTTTTGAACCTTAAACCGCATAAACACATTTCATTACACCAAATACACAAAATAATGTTATTTTTAGCAACATCATATGACCCCTTTAAGGGTTTGAGAGACTCCTGATTGATAGTGAAATGTTCCTCTGAAGTCAAGAATGTCATTCATCTTCATCTGGACATAAGCACTAATTCAGCGTTGTGAAGTTGAGTTTTATCTGATCTTAGCCAAAATGTAAGCTGGTATTCTCTGTTTTAGAATGGAACCCATTGAATATCTCAGAACATGATTTATAATTTTGTGGAAATCTGAATAATGATTTTGTCAGTGTATGTTTGCCTTCATTTGGAAATGCTGTAATGGAGTTTTACATCCAGCTTTCCATGTGGTTTCGCTAATAGCATATGCTTGCATTATGTCTGTTGAAAATTAAAGGATTGAGTCCTCTTCATGTGGTATAGTTTTGCCCCTTAAGCACTTCCTTATGCATATCTTAGGCCTGGTAACAAATTGCACACCACACTTACATGCAGTGCAACATGTGCATGTGTGCACATGTTTAACACATTAGAGTGTCACAGTGAAAAAATTAGCCACATCATATGTTGATCTGATTTAATGAGTGCCTTATAAAGGAGTGTGTCTGAGTACCAATGTTCAAGTTTGTTGAACTCTGAACTGCAAATTTGTATTGTGTAGAAATATTTGACGAATAGAGGATATAATATCACAGGTTGGCCTCTTGGCTCAAAACAAAGGATACAGACTTTGAATCTGCATGATTTGGAGTGTTAAAGCCTTAGGGTGTGGCATCATGTCCTGTTGCCCATATTCCAAAAATAATTTAGCATGTTCAAGTCCTATAATGAATGCACTTTAGTACAGGAAATTGAACCAGCCCTGGTCTTGACAGTCTAGTGTCTTGCTCTAACCAGTATGCATGTTTGTTTTGGTCATGGTGACCTTATCCTAGTGCAGGGTGATCTTTGCATGCTGTTAAAGGTAATAATTGTCACTCAGTTTTACAACCTGCAGTTTTTAAAATAAGCACACTAGGGTTTGCACTAGGTGTTCTTGTATCTCAATTGGCAGAGCACGATGCTGGCCAAGATCGTAAGAGTTTGAATGAGAGAGAACACATTGAATGTGTATCTTGAATGCACTGCTCTGAATGAAAGTGTATGTAAAATATGCAAATAAATTATGCAAATGTGGCCTAAATGTTCTGTTCAAGTAAAGTTTCTTGTAGGTATTGAGGTCAGTTGACTGGACAAATGTTGATATTAAATTTACGTTAGCAAATTCTGGTTTGGCTTTCCGATTTGGGTTGAGTCACTATGTTGCATGAACATTTTAGCTTTGATTGCTCATGTTATTTTATAAATCACCTCTATCCTAGGGACATCTTTGAAGCAACCACTTGCATGCCATTGGCTGAATTTTCCTCTTCAAAATGTTAAATTCTGGGTATGGCACCTGGTATCTCAGCTCCCAGGAATCTGTACTCAGATGTCCAACCTTATAAGGTTACATGGCAAACTATTCATTATTTTCTTCCAGCTAATTATTTAATCCAGTTGTAAAAGGCGAGACCTTTCTGAGTAGCTTTTTTTAGAAGGTTGTCATGTTTCAAAACAAGTCCCCAGTTATCTTTAACTCCCGACCCTCTTCATTTCGGATCTGGCTACATTTATTAGGTGACAGCTGGCAGAGGTATATTTAGAACACAGGTGGCCATGAGAGCCTTCGTGCCCTGCAGTTCCTCTCCAGTCAAGTGCAGAACCGAGGCAGAACAAAGCCAGCCCAGTCCTCAACACACTCTAACCCATCAAATACAGGTTCAGCCCCACCAACAGGAAGACACCTGCAGACCTGTTCAATGAACTAACACCTGCACTCTTTGAGTAGTGGCCATGTCATTCAAAATATATTCCCTTTTCCAAACGAAATCCTAAAATATGAGTGAGAATGTTAATGTGTCTGGTCATTTTGGATCTTAAACATAGTTTAAAAAAAAAAGATCATATTGAAATTTTCACAAAGCAAAACTAATGACCCCAGCTGTGCTGCCAAGGCATGATCTAGAAAGTGTGTCTTGATGCTGCCAGTGTGGCATTTGCTGCCCATTGGCATTAGCAGAGCGTGCCAGGGCGGCCCTTGCGCAGAGGTTACTTGAGCACAGCTGAGTGGGCCAGAGGGGAAGTGTTCTATATCACTTCTTACCTTCAATAAACATTGCCTTCATTTAGCAGCTGAAGTTCCAGAATTCTGTTGATAGTTCCTTGAAAACTCTAGAACTTGAATTCATTAGAATCTGGAGATTTCTAGTAAATCTAAGATTCTTAGTGTTCCTGTTGTGATTAGGATAGTTTGTATTCAACATGGATAACAGCCTAGGCCACATGTAGCCACTTTCCGTTAAATCTATTTTTTTTTTATGTCAATGTAGGGTCATCACTGGGGGGACAACCGGGTAAACTGTTGAGGGCTCTGTTATGACGCGGAATGTTATTAAGGTGTTCTGTGGTAAAATCTGCTTATTCAGCACCGTGGAAAGGGCACCCAAACATAAACAAATTGTCCCAGGACCTGTGAATTTTAGCGACAGACTTTGAACATAAAATTTGTTTCATTTTCAGCTATATTTTAATAAGATTTTATTTTTTTTTTTGGTATATTGTAGGATTTGGGCATTTAGGAGTATAGTTTTTGGTTGTGATGTTTTTAGTGATTCCAAAATATTTAGTACCAGAATTTATTATTATTATTATTATTATCATCATCATTCTAGGATGTTACAGTTCAGAATTATTATATATATATTTAATTCATTACAGATTAATTACAGAATGTATATTTTTATAATCATTCCAAAATGTTTAATTCCAGAATTAATAATTTTTCAATCATTCTAGAATGTGTAATATGCTGCTGAAAAGCCTTTACCTTTGACAATATTCAACAATATAGTATTTCATTCCATACTGCTTAAATAGATTTCTGTATGACTGTATGACTTTTCTTTCTGCTTGGTGAGAGTTCTGGCCCAGATGAGTCATGTGTTGTGTTTGTTGTTTGATCACTTGGAACACTTGCCCTTGATTATGTCATTTGCATTTAAATCCTTCAATGAATTGGTCTTTTTGAAATCAAGCCAGGACTTCTGGGGGAAAAAAAAAACTTTTGCTGAGTGCCTGTTGTGTAAACCTGTTTACAATCAAGCCTTGTTGATCACAGAGCCTGGTTAATTCAGGAGCTGTTGGATGAATGCTTGTACAGTTAGGTTGTTCTTTATAAGGTTCAGCTGGTCATTTTTATAATTCATTCATTCAATTTTCTTTTTCTCCACTCCATGTTTGCTGTTTTAAATTTCTCTTAAGCTAGATGCCTGAATACTAATGGCATCTTGAAAACTAAAACGGAACAAAAATTACCTAGCAAAATAAATAACAGAGTGACAGCAGTCCAGATTAGTGTAAATTAATAGGTCAGAGTATCTGTATTTACTCCAGAGCCAACAGAGCACCTGGAAACACACTGCACTAGTGGGCAGAGAGTCCTGTCCAGCCTTCCAACTTTATGTAAAAGGATTTGGCTCAAGATGTGCTAAGCCCTCAACAAGAGTGGCAGGGTAACTAAAAGGGTTGCACTGGCAGTCTGTGGTGAGTCTATTTTCTTATCTGTTATAAATCCTACGTAACATGATTTTTATGGTTTAGGTGTCAGAATGATAACCTCATGTAGAAAAAAGTCGCCGTCTAAATTGAGGTTTCCTGTCCACTGTTGAGCAAATGTTCTGTTGCTCATCTACTGCAACAAGAAAGAAAGAAGTTAGATGAATGTAAGAAAGTACGTCATACAGGTTTAGAACAGCATGGGGGTGAGTAAATTATGACACAATTTTGAGAGAACTGTCCCTTGAAGGTCATTTTATATATTCTTTCTTGTTTCAGTCATGTTGTGAAAATATTAAAATGACAGGGCAGAATATGGAAGTATGTGAGTTTTAAACCACTTACAGTCCAGTAAACTTTTTATGGGAGTACTTTCTTGTTGCAGTGCGGGAATTTATTTTATTTAGGGAATGAAGTGTGTATTATTTCTCAACCAGCCACTAAACCATTAGACATGAGCGTACGTTGTGAAACCTATTCGGTACATTGGCCATGCTATTTTTATATTGGGATGGAGAGAGAGAGAGAGAGGTGGGGGTGGACTGTTTTCCTCCTAAGAGCATTATGAGTGCATTTGTTTGTTACATTACCAGAGTGTGCTGTCACCGTCATATGGCAAGCCAAGGCAGCCTTGACTGGTTTAAAGCAGAGAGTTATTCCGGATCGCAACTGTTCACCCTCCACTGTTCCCAGCAGAGCCCTGGACTTAATCCCGAGCGGGACGCAGCCTGTCACAAAGGTAAAGGGGGACAACTCTCACGAGTCATGGGGGAGATCAGACACAATAGTTCCCCATGATTTTCTTACATGTGTTATTGAGAAAATGGCACATTACTGAGGTTTCTTTGTGCTTTTGCTTATTTCTCTCTCCCTTTCTTGAACTAAGTGGTGTGATTCCTTGTTTTTGATGTGTCCGTGAAGTTCAGGAGGTTTTTCTGTCTTTTTAAATGTTCTTTTAAAGTGTCTCATTGTTTGAGAAGTTGGCACAGGTGAGTGCTGCTTTCTCTGCTGTCAAACTGTCTGCAGTTAATGGTATTCAATTCTAAGTTTGTCTTATGTGTCATTTTTAAAGAGATATTTCACCCAAAAATGAAAATTCTGTCATCATTTACTCACCCTTATGTAGTTCCAAACTTGAGTGAGTTTATTTCTTCTGTTGAACACAAAAGATGATGTTAGACATCATTGCATATTTTTGATATTCAATGAAAGTGAATGGTGACTGAGACTATCACCTTTTAGGGTTAATAAGTGATGAATTCATTTTGAGGTGAGCTGTGCCTTTAATTGGGACACCAATGAGTTTGTTTCAAATTCTGCTTCTATTGTGCTGTCTGATATATTGAGTATCATCATAATTTATGATTTAAGAACAAATTTGTTATTAACCAATTGATAAATTTTAATGCTAAATTCATTTAAGTTTCTCTTTTGTATTATTCACCTTTTTCTAAATAGATGCAATGTTAGGAACATATTTGTGTTATTTTAACCTATTTGTCCATTTAAATCCTAAATGCTTTGTCTATAGACATGATGTTCGGGGGCTAGCGTGAGGAACGGCCGGAGGGTTAGAGTGAGCAGAGTGGGCTTGAGAACGGCGCAGCCGGCGATTTCGACTAAGGAGCGTCCGGAAGAACATGTGACAACTCCGGGCTGGACTCCACTTCGTCCACGAGGAAAAATTGAAATCGCATCATATGACCCCTTTAAACTTTTATTAGAAAGTGCTGAAGAACTTTAAGAGGAATATTATATTATATATTATATTATATAGAAAAAATGTTTATGGATTGGTATGTGATTGTCTAAAATTTGGTAATTTTTCTTTCTTTGTTCTCTTAACAGCTTTCTCCTCCAGTTTCTTGTTCGTTAATGGAGTTCCGGCAGGGCAGCGGCGATTACTGCCACGCCCAACATCAGAACGCTTGATCACGGGTGGATATGCCCGAAATCTGCCACTGAATGTCCAGAGAAACGCTTTCTGTGCTTTTCTCTTGCTGGTCTTTCTGAATGACCACTTTGCTGTGCGCCAAATGGGTTAATTGCCATCGCGGCACCTGGCATTTAGCTACCGGACACTGTTCCACCCGTCTAGTTGCCCGGCAGATTATCCCTATAAAGAGGAAGAGGCAGATTTGTTGGAAGAGGAAGACTTTTGTGGTTTCTAATTTCCCAGAAAGGCAGCTTTCAATTTTATATACTGACTAGTAGTGATTTATCATAGAGGATCCTGCAAGTCCTTGACACCTTCACTGTGATAGTGAATCTGCTGTAGCACTGTTCTAGGTCAGAGTAGTGCCGTACTGTGAGTGGAGCTCTGTGGATCCTAGCCCGGAGTGGGTGTTCTGTTTTCTGTAGTGTGGAGGGACACCAGCATGACCAGGATGAACCGTCCGGCTCCTGTCGAGGTCTGCTACAAAAACATGCGCTTCCTTATCACGCACAACCCAACCAATGCATCATTAAGCAGCTTCATTGAGGTGAGATACCATTCAGACATATGATCATTTTAAAACATGAAAGATCACATACTTCCTCCTCTGAAAAGTTCAGACCTACTCTGATGTGACAATTGCTGCACATCAATGGACCACAACCAAGAACAAACTTAAAACATTTGTTCAAAGTCCTAAATTAAATACTAAATGTACTCTGTTTTGTCCCTCAAAACTTGTGCAATCTTGTTTCCTCAGGATCTGAAGAAGTATGGGGCAACAACAGTGGTGCGTGTGTGTGAAATCACCTATGATAAGACACCGCTGGAAAAGGATGGAATTACTATCATGGTGAGATATATTTCATCTGAAGTGTCATCTGTAAAGTTTTTTTTTTTATTTTTTAAATGCCTCCCATGCAGTCCTTTCATTTTTTGGTTTGAAAACTCAGGCAAAGTTATTGTTAAAAATAATTTGTTATTAAATATAAATAGCATTTTTAGATTCAGACATTATTATTTGTAGTCTTATTATTTAGTTATCATTTTGTCAAAGCAAAAATAAAACAATAATTAAAAGCAATAATCAGGTTAACATATCAGTTAACTGACACTTACATTAAAGCAATATCCATCAGTTGATCTCTAAAGTGTATTGGGTTAGTTATATGTTACAGACTGACATTTAAAAAATAAGTTAAAAAAACTGAAAAAGTAATTTTCTCAGTGTAATAATAACTCTTATACAGTGACCTATAGTTAGTATCTTGGCTTTTCTGCCTTTTTTCTGTCTTTATATGCATTTGACCTTCTGTTCTGTAGAGGTACATGCAGAATATGCGTATCTGATGCGCACACTCACTCTGTCACCTAAATGTAATAATCCTGGACAATTTCCCGATCATGGCAGTGTCACTCCATACCACCCTTCCTTTAATTAACACTCCTGCTATACTGCAGTGATGCTGCTGTAATTAGTGGTACTTGTGGTACCACATTAGTGGTATGAAGGTGATTGGCTCCCTCTGATATCATGTAAAGCCTCTGTCTGGATTTATATGTAGGATGAGGATCATCCTGTTTAGCACAGACCACAGCCCCTCAGTGCTCATCTAGTCCTGGAACACACATGCTGTTTGAATTGGCCTCCCAGTCATGTCATATGATGTCAACTGATGTGAGATGAGGCTGCTTTTTGTCTGGTGCTCCGAAGGGAGCTCCACATTTGAGGATACAATCCTATAACATTCTGCCAAACATCAGATCTTTCTCTGCCTTCACCTTTTTTTTTTTAACTACTTGAATCCAACATCCACATGTGTTTTCAGTTTGGCTTGTCAACATTTCCCCGTTACCATGGCAGCCTGAGGGGAGCTTGATCTCTCTCCCTCTGCGCTTTTTATTAAGTCCTATACACCCTTGTGCCCTTTCACTCTGTTGAACTTCTCATTAAATGAGAAGAAATATACATGACACTATATATTTAACACTATGTATTCAAGAATTCTAGAAATGTAGCTATCTAAGCTTCTTAGATTAACCTGAGGTCACTGTGAATTTATCCACCATGCTGTTGCATCTCAGGCTTTACTTTTAAAAACTCTGCGAGGTGCATGAGAAGTTATGTAAAACAGTTTCCTCCTCTGTGCCATCAAGAGAACAGTCAGTTTCCGCAAGAGAGAAACACTATTGACTACGGAGTCTGTTTGAAACATCACTGCTGTGTTTATGCTCAGCTGGATAAGATGTAATGCTTCAGTCCATGGCTCTCCATCAAAAAAACATGGAGGTTGTTAAAAAACATGACTTAATTCATCTAGACAGGATTTAGTGCCTTTGTTTAGTTTGTGAATAACTTCCATAGCTGTTCCTCAACAATATTTTAGAAGATCAATTTGAGTAGTGTACTTGGTTACTTAAAGCTAAAGTGTGTATTTTCTGTATCAGTAGCATCACAAAACATTATTGCAAAAATAATGACTATTTTCAAACAGGTTTTGCAGAATACTGCCCTGTCTGTTATTGGTTGGAACAAAACAGTCTTGCCCCAAACTCACACCATTGGTTGAGCCAGTGTTGCTGTTGTCAGGCTAGTCAGGATACTTAAACAAACAGAGAAATGTTTTGATAGTTCCATAGAGCCATAGAGTGTATACTGTTCTGGGAAATAAACGTACAAATGGCTTACTAATGCTGTCAGGTGAAGGGAAAAAAAACAGTAATTACACATTTTGGAAATAGTTAAGTTTAAATCAAGTCCAGTCTGTATTGATGCAGTTTGGCTCAGCTATTTTCAGATTCAGAGAAATCATTTACACTACCATTCAAAAGTTTGAGGTCAGAAGATTTTTATTAATACTTTTATTGAGGAAGGATATATTAAATTGATCAAAAGTGATAGTAAAGACATTTATGTTATAAAATATTTCCATTCTTAATAAAGGCTATTTGTCTTCAAAGAATCCTGAAAAAAGAAATGTTTCTTGAGCACCAAATCAGAAGAGATATTAATGATCTCTGAAGGATCATGTGCCACTGAAGACTGGAGTAATAATTCAGCTTTGCCATCCCAGGAATACATTTCATAAGAAACTTTTATTTATTTTTATTTTTTCCATACTTGCTCCAAACTTTTGAAACTTTAATCATTTTGCCTATGAAGTATAGTTTTGCAGTATAGTTGTCATTGCATTTTCAGCTAGTGTAGAAAAAAGGTTTTTAGTGTACTTTAGCTTTAAACGTGAAATATCTAATTGCTGCAATATTACCAGTGCTGCAAACCAGAATTGCAAAATTTCTTCCATTGTTCAGACTAACATCCTGCCGCACATTCTCACGATAATACAGAAGTTGATAATATGTCACATTGTTTGAACGGTGTTTTGAATGCCACAGTACTACCTCAGAATGGCTTACTTAGTTTTCTCTGCATGTTGACTTTATTTGCTGTATGCTTTCTCTCTTTCTGTTTACCGACTGTGTGGTTGTGTGTGTGTCCTTTTTTTTTTATTTGTTATATAAACTGATCACTTCTGCTCTTCATAAGAGGAGATGAGGCAATAGGTTTGCAAGGGGTTCAAAACTTGGAACAGGATTTCCTCTCCAATTCAAGCAACTGCAGATGGATTTAAATGGTCATTCGCCCCATTTTTACACCGTTGGATCCCATTTGTCTCGTAGAACAAGCATAAGACGGTAAAAAATCTAGATACACTGTTTAAAACAAACCAAAAAATATAAATCGTACTGACATAACCATTTAAATTATTTTATAGTTCATGAAAGATCACAAAATGTTTCTTTTTGATGAGAAAACAGATAAGTGAGTGGATTTGTTGACATTTTATGTGCCTCAAACCTCTCCTGCTCTCTTGTAAGCAGAAGCTCGAGTTGCTGGAGGAATAGCAGGTATGTGTTTCGAGAAAATGCCAGGGCATTTTCCACAATTAGGCCCCACGCTGCTGGTTCTGGAGTCGGTGTGCCCTGGCAAGAGTACCAGAGCACTTCCATCTTGGAATGGACTCCTGGAATTAATAGCCTACTGTTGACATACCAGACAAGGAGGGGCCTATTAACCTCTTAGCGGATTAAAAAGTTATTTTTAAACCAAGAGATTCTCATAGACGGTCCTCGTAGAAAATGGTCTCCTTCGCTCACTCCCTATAAATGTCTCCTTTTCTGAGAAAGCAGCAATGCAAAACACCATGCTTTGTTTGTCAGTGTATTTTGACCCAGCACATTTTTTTTTTTTTTAAATCATTCAGATTCAGTCTTCCATGAAAAGCTCCCTGTAAAGATAAAAGTGTTTAATATCTGCATGCGAGTCAGATTGTGCCTAAGACTGTATGTGTTTGTTCTGATCTGCTGAAGCATTTATCAAAACCCTCAATGTTTCTCTGAAGCGTGTAGAGCATATGATGATCCAACCACAGATCAAGTCCTAAAATTTTAAAGAACATGAGAAGTTTACCATTTAAAATGTAAGTTCATTCATCATTTACTCACACTCATGTTGCTTCAAACCTGTATGACTTTTTTTCTCAGTGGAGCAGAAAGGAGATATTTTGAAGATTGTCTTGTTTTTTTTTTGTTTTTTGGTCAGTACAGTTAAAGTGTGTTGGGTCACGTGTTGTTTTAAACCCATTGAACTTATTGTATGGTCAAAAACAATTGAAACATTCTCAAAATGTCATCTTTTGTGTTCCACAGAAGAAAATCACACAGGTTTGAAAAAACATGAAAATTGTCTCATTTTTGTGTGAACTATCCCTTTTAAGTACCTAATGACTTTGATGAAACAGCTTATTTAATAAAATTGTGAACATTCCCTGTTTGCTCTTACATAATTAAACATTTCTGATGATTCAGCTCTTGCACATGGTGTTAAATCAAGCTGTTCGTGACAGATCCGATTGAACTGGTGGAGTTGACTGGACTAGTGAACGTGCCATGTTTGCGGTTGCAGAACTTGTGAAAATCACACAGGAATCATTAGAGGGATTTAGTGTTCATAGTATATGTATGCATAGTATATAATAGTGTTCATCGTCTGTTTTATTACGTCTTAAATTGATTTTTCCGTACTGCTGGTTCGTCTGGTCAGAGGAGAACTGGCCCCCCGACTGAGCCTGGTTTCTCCCAAGGTTTTTTCTCCAATCTGTCACCGATGGAGTTTTGGTTCCTTGCCGCTGTCGCCTCTGGCTTGCTTAGTTGGGGACACTTAATTTCCAGCGATACCGTTGACTTGATTGCAAAGATACTATTTAAACTGAGCTGGATGTTGACATCACTGAATTCAATGATGAACTGTCTTTAACTGAAAAATTTGTGTTTACTATTGTCATTTTGCATTATTGACACTATTTTCCTAATTAATGCTGTTCAGTTGCTTTGACACAATCTGTATTGTTAAAAGCGCTATATAAATAAAGGTGACTTGACTTGACTTGACTAGAGGGATTTGCAGATTACTGTGAATCTGAGATGACTGCATAAAGCTGAAGCTTTATAGAGCACCATCTGCTGGTGGTGACTGGAGTCATTTGTTACCCCTTGTTCCCTTTTATCTTATCTGCTAGTATTTGGTCTCTCTCAATATGAGTGTTTCCCTTTCAATTCAAAATATAATAACATACAGACACATAGTTATCCATAGTGATAATAAATGTCAAATCATTCTTCTGTTTGTCTCCCTCAGGATTGGCCTTTCGATGACGGCGCACCTCCTCCTACCAAGATCGTGGATGACTGGCTGAGTCTGCTGAAGAATAAGTTCTGTGAAGATCCAGGCTGCTGTGTGGCTGTGCATTGTGTGGCCGGACTGGGCCGGTGAGTGCCAAGCTATTCTGTTATCACAGAAGTGCTGCTAACGCCAAAGCTATAGCCGTCTGTGTGATATGTTAAGAAATTAGCTCAACTTTATCTAACCAGTATGCCAAGCCAGTGCTGTGCCCGCACTGAATTGCTGGTTTTTTTTTTTTTGCACTAATTTTCCACAGTGGAATGATCTGGCAACTCAAAAGAACCCTATTTTGGTTGAGGATGTGACACTTAATGACTGTTTTTACTAAAATATCATACTTTTCTTCCATTACACTCACCTAAGTAAATGTAAGTGATGATTCTGATTGGAAATTGGGTGAAATATCAGCCTAGTAAGTATAATTATACTAGTATAATTGTATAATTATCCGATTATATTTACAAAAATTACAAGGATTGGGAGATATCTAGAAATATGTGAACAATAGCCATTCAAATCAGTGTTGTTTATGTTGACTAAAATGAAACTATTAAATCATTTTCATAATTGAATGACTTGAAAATTTAATTGAAAATAAATCTGAAATAAAGTATAAATGTTACATGAAAAAAAAAAGTTAAAACAAACTAAAATTAACATGCAAACTGAAAAAATAAAAAAAATTATCTAATTCTAAATATTCATAGTATATAAATAATACTGAAATAGAATTGTTTCAAATGATAATCTGCTTTGCTTTCTACAGTATTCTGCAGACGCAGATTCCATGTAGTCCTATTAATTTCCCAGCCTGCTGCTGTGGCTGTTCAGAAATTGTAGACGTGCAAATGCACATCTGAATTTGATGGGTCAGGCTTTATGTGGCTTGATTCGCTCTCTTACAAAAATTCTCAAACATATCAACAGCCTTTCCCAGGATCTGTTGCTCTTTTTCCCTCAGAATGCAATCAAGGACTGTGTGTGTAATAGCTTTAAGCTGGCTTGTGTTAGTGTAGTGTTTGAGTTCTGCTGTTTACATTTGGTTTCTCATCACTATTTTTTATTTTTTTGCTTTACCCCAAATACCGCTCAGCGACAGGCTTCTCAGTCTTGGCCCGTGTCCTCTGCAGGTCAAACCCATTCTCCCTGCCCGACCGCTGTGTGCCAAAACCAACCATCCAAACGGACACACAATATTAATCCAAGTTTATTATTCAAAGCATCTGAAGGTTGACATCTGAAGACGAAATAGAAAGCGAATAATAAGCAGCTATCTTAATTGCTCCTTCATATCTCTTTTCAGTGAGGGATCCTGGTGTAGTCACGGTGTTGCCCTCTTATCCGGCCAGCTATCAAAACACACAGACCTTAATTAAGCTGTGGCGCTTGAATTGTTGAGCCAGACGCTCAAATGTGGTGGTTTTGCAGGAATGGTAAGCTAATGACAGTCTGGTTTAACCTGCCTGCCCTCCTCCCACACTGACCCCTGACCGCTTCTAACGACAAGTTAAGCACCAGCCTCTCTGACGTAGATTGCAGCTCCTGTGGGAGCCCTCAGCAGTTTTTGTCAGAGCCAATGTTTGCTTTAGCAGGATGAGTTTGTGTTGTTATGCATTGGAAAGGGGCACACTCAGGAGACTTCAAAGCTGTCAGGACCCTGAGCGCAAACGGTAAAAATAGGGTCTCTGACAGGGAATGACACACTTTTCAAATCAAAATTTATTGTATTTTAGTAAATCTGGGATTAGCACGTAATGACGTTTAGGCCCTCCCCCCACCCTCGAAAAAAAAAAAATAATGATCTAACTGCTCTGTAAACAATTACAATGATTGCTTAAAATGCATTGCCATTCAAATTAAATGTCATTAAAAGGATAGTTCATCCAAAAATTTAAATTCTTTCATTATTTACTCACCCTTATGTCATTCCAAACCCAAATGACTTGCTTTCCTTTGTTGGTAACCAAAAAGTTTTGGTTGCCATTGGCTACCATTGTATGGACAAAAAATACAGTGAAAGTCAAAGGGGAATCAAAACTGTTTGGTTACCAACATTCTTCAAAATACCTTCTTTCTTGTTCCACCGAAAAAAGAATAAAGGTTTGAAACAACATAAGCTTAAGTACATTATGATAGAGGTTTCATTTTTGGGTGGGCTATCTTTTTAAGATATAAAAATTGTCATCTACTCACCCTCATGTCATTCTAAACCTGTGTGACTTTTTCATGGAACACAAAAGAGAAATGTTGAAGAATATAGTTTTTTTCCCCAACTCTTCTTTTTTTGAAAATGAATTGATATTTGGGCTGCCAGGGTCTATATCAAGTCTTGAAGCCATACAGTAGCTTTTTTGATGAATAGACTGTAATGTAAGTTGTAGAATAATGAATCTTGCCACTCAGAAAAATGTAAGATACTGTAACTGCAGACCTGTTCTCTCATGCATTAGGTGGTATCCTATCCTTGCTGAGAAGGGCTGAATGGGTCACTTTTCCTGGAAAACATATTGTTTCTATGGGCTGTGCATACACAAAAGCTGTTTCCTGGCATTAAACACTGTGCATGTATGTATATGTTGCAGGGCTCCAGTGCTGGTGGCTCTGGCACTTATAGAGAGCGGAATGAAATATGAGGACGCCATTCAGTTGATTAGACAGTAAGTATACATTACAGCTAACAATACATTACCAACACCTTGCAGCAGAGTGGTTCAACAGCGATACAACCCAGTCAATACAGTGAGCGATACAGTACAAGCACAGTAAATGATGCAACAGTGATGTTGTGCATCATTAATGCCTCACGGCTAATTCTACGGCAAACAAATTATAGCAAATTACGAAGTCAAAAAATGATGACATACGTTATGACACCATTATGACATACAACAGTAGCAGACAACACAGCGCTAATGCATTACAGAAAACAATCAATAAAATATAACTGCTTATATTAATTAAAATACTGCTTAAATTCTGATTCTTTTGGTTTTATTCAGCATGTTGATAAGGCTACACATGTTACTTAATTTAGGTCAACATAATATATTAATATTTATTCATTTGCTGTGATATTTTGATAACTTCATTTCACCATAAATAAAAGCTAAATTAGTTATTATATGAAAGTAGAATTTTTGATGAAGACAAAAAGTTAAAAGGGTAAAGATAAAACTAGAAACATTTTGTTATTTAATGCTTAAGTTTACGTACTAATACAGACAGGAATATTGTCTTTGAAAGACCTTAATGTTTAATGTGATTTTTTTATATACAGTATATACATCATTTTTTCTTTTATGTACTATAATGTGGCTAAACAATGATAAAACTGAGGTGATTCTCTTTGGTCCCTCTAAAACTAGAAATTCTGTTGCTGGGAACTTAGAAAACCTCACTCCATATGTTAAGTCTCATGTAAAAAATCTAGGTGTTATCTTTGACTCTGAGCTTTGTCTTGAAAAACAAATTAGCTCAGTTGTTAAAAATAGTTATTATCAGCTGAGGATCATCTCAAAGCTTAAATCAACACTTTCCTTTCAAGATCTGGAAAAAGTAATTCATGCTTTTATCACATCACGCCTGGATTATTGTAATTCGTTATATGTTGGTCTTCCACAATCTTCATTGGCACGGCTGCAGATGGTTCAGAACGCGGCGGCTAGATTGTTAACCGGCACCAAAAAACGCGAACATATTTCTCCAGTTTTAGCGTCCCTTCATTGGCTTCCTGTCTTTTTTAGAATTCAGTTTAAGATTTTACTTATTGTTTTCAAAGCTCTTAATGGACAAGCCCCATCTTATATTTCTGATCTTATTTATTTGCATTCAATGCCGAAGTCTCTCAGATCCGCTAATAAAGCTCTATTACATGTCCCTCGGTCACGACTTAAATTAAAAGGAGACAGAGCCTTTGCAGTCGCTGCTCCACGTTTGTGGAATCAGTTGCCACCTGACATTAGGAGTGCTTCTTCTGTTTCTATTTTCAAGTCCAGACTTAAGACACATTTTTACTCTCTCGCCTTTCCGGGCTATTAATTGAATGTGAAACTGTTGTTATTGCCGATATTACAATTTTTTTTATTATTGTTTTTTAAATTTTACTTTATTTTAGAATTTACTGTGTTTTATTATTGGTTTTGTTCAGCACTTTGGTCAGTGTAACGCTGAATTTTAAATGTGCTTTATAAATAAAACTTACTTACTTGCTTACTTACTTAAAATAAAGATGAATGTACATACATGCATATATTATCATACATTTAATTTAAGCCATTAAAAAATTGTGTATATTACTGAAAAATTGTAATATATATTTTCTATATTAATTTGTGTATATATTAAGATATTAATATTTAAAAGTGTATATTAGTATATTAATATATAATTTTTATATAGCTCCTAATGTATATACATGTGTGTATATATGCATGTATACATTTAACAAACATTTAACATCCTATTAAGTCAAAATATTTTGTATATTGCTAAATATATTTTATATATACTTACATATACTTTTATGTTTTATATATACAAGCTTGTAGGTGTGTTTAATATATACATTTTTTCATTGTTATAAACAAATTAATGATTTAGGGTTTAACATATATCTTAATTGTCTATGTGCGTTTAATATCGTTAATATTACTATTATTATAAACAGAAAAAAACATCGATTAAAAAAAATGAATATAACTAATGGGTATTTGGTGTTCTTCCCCCCCCCCCCACAGGAAACGTCGGGGCGCCATCAACAGTAAGCAGCTGACGTACCTGGAGAAGTACTGCCCCAAACAGAGACTGCGTTTCAAAGACCCACACAACCACAAAAGCAAGTGCTGCCTCATGTGATCCAGTCTCACCAGCCTGCCACTGAAGGAACCAGTCACTCATGGACTAAACCAGACTAGAATTACCAATCTAGTGCATTTGAACATTTCAGGAAGGGAATTCAACCCCCTTTTAGTGTAGATGTCAGACCCCTGCACACAGGGTCTTCACCAGCTCAGGGCTGTGAAAGACGAGCCTCTTGAATTTTGTCTTTACACACAAACCCCCCATCCTCACTGTGTTTACAAATTTATTGTGAACACAAGCATATGCCCGATGCACACACTCATGCTACCAGCCATCACACTTTACCTG